TGATCAAGTATAAAGTGATTTGGTTAGTTAAGATCATATGTCAACTTGGATGCATGTGAGTGTGTCTGTCACTGTATGTATATGCGATGGATGAAAGTAATTAGGACAGCAAAAAGAAGCGTCTGTTTTTGGCCATCAAGGTTTGATGACCCTATCTCCCCCTTTCTACAGACATGTTATAACCATCTCTCCGAGCCACTACGAGCCTGTGAACTGCCGCGTTCGACGTTCGCTACCCTCCAGCGGCATCAACACACAAGAGGCTCGGTGAAACCCAACTTGGACAAGACAACAATCCGACGACCCAGACTTTTGTGGGCACAATTGTGTCCTTGCATGCCGCTACCGGAAACCGGTTCCTGAGGTTGCGATAGGCAGTCATGCTGTGTACTGACCACTTGCCTCTGTCTGCCTCTCGGGACCCTGTACACCGCCACCTGTACCATCCTCATCCCACGTGTCGTGGGCACATCGGCTCGGTCTCGAGGGTCTCATTGTTTGTCTGCTGTTGCGTTTATTTTCCATCAGCTTATCACAGCGTTGCGAGTTTTCACCCCCATCGCATCGATACCATTCATTCGCCAAGGGTGGATTGGTTTCGCCCTGGCCTATACGGTATCATGTCCCTCCAGGCATTCGCTTCGTTCGCCTCGAGAAAGATCTTTTTTTCCCTTTTCCCCAAATCACTTCAACCAATAGCCCATGGGCGAACCTCATTGACACACTTTTTATAAACTTTTGTCCACTCTCCAGGGACCTAAGCACTATTTCAGGGCGAAAGTGCATCAGCGGTTAGCCAACGCTTCTACGTTTTGTCAATCTCGGACTTGCATACCACTCCAGCATACGGACAGTGGTCCGTTTCATATCTTCCATTATTTTTTTCCATTCCGTATATTCACGCCTTTGCATATCGTGTCATTCCAGTTTCTCACAGTCAACATCATCGTCTCTGATTTTTCGCTCGATTTTCTACAACAATGTTGGTGAAACCCACTTTTTCTTCGTCTATTAATTTTGCTCTTGCCTCAGGTTTGGCTAAAAGCCGTGACCCATTTCCGCCAGAATATTAATTTCCTAATGTCTGTTTTTCTGGCGTCTCTGCTTCGCCCATTCGAACTATGCAGTCTGCATTTCCCTTACTTGTCTCCTGATAGACTCCAATTTGCTAAGATTATATGTTTTTCCTTACCAGCCTCAATTTGGCAAATGGAATTGTGGCTAGATTCACTCCACAACTCGCGAATAAGTCTCTTTCACTAACAAAGCCTAAATGATTTTTATGTTTTGTGATTGGGGAGTGGGAATGTCGTGGTTTACCCAGTTTTTTTCATGAAAGTCAAC